CCGCATACCCTCAACCATCCGTGTTGCTAGTCTCTGAACCCGTTCCAGGCAGGCTGCTTCCTTTTTATAGAAGGGCAATCAAGCCTGAATACAGTATTCTAGATGAGGCCTTACGATGGCTTTGTAGATGAGTATAAATACATCCGCTTATCTACAAGAAACTGCCGATCTTAGTCGAAACAGTTGTCGTCTTGCTGTGTGTGCTGCAGCTTCACATTGAGTACCCCAAGTGTAATCTGCAGTTACTATGACTCCTAGATCCCTGGCACTAGTTACAGTTCCTACTTCGAACTGCCCCCAGTCACCTAGAGCCTTCAATGGTTCCTGGGTTCTTGAGAGCAATTGGCTCTTTGTTGCATTTAGTGGCAGATCCCATGTGTGGGACCACTGAGCCACCTTTGCAGNCTGCTAGATCATTTATGAACAGCAGAAAAAGAAGCGGGCCTAACACCGACCCTTGTGGCACGCCACTAGTGACGTAATGAACTGGTATCAAATGCTTTCCTACCCTGACGCAAAATGTTCTATTGGTCAAGAATGCTGCTATCCAATTATAGACTGCCCCTGTGATTCCGAAAAAACGTAGCTTGTGCAGAAACGATCTATGACTTACGGAGTCGAAAGCCGTGCTGAAATCTAGATAACATACCTCTACTGTTCTACCTTCGTCAACCCCCTCTGTGACTTGGTCGAGGTAACATAAGAGGTTGGTCAGGCACGATTTGTTTTCCATAAAGCCATGCTGAGATACGCTAAGTAATGTATATTGTAAAAGGTGGGTACAGACTTGAGTCTTTATTAGCTTTTCCATGCACTTGCATAGAACACTATTTAGGCTAGCTGGTCTGTAGTGCTGTGGGTTAGATCTACTACCACCTTTGTGTAATGCCACCACTACCGCAGTTTTCCAGTCATCCAGAAGCACACCCTCCTCCAGTGACTTTTGAAACAACACCCTTAAAGGGTCTGCTAAGATTTGGGCAATTGATTTCACAATGGCAGGATATATGCCATCGGAACCCGGGGCCTTGTTTATGTAAGGCTCCCCTAACACTTTTGCACACCAGATGCGGATTTCTGCATCTCTCTTATGCTCGGCGGAAGAGAAGTTGGGAAGCTAGGTTCTAATATCCTGTTGTCTAGGCTGTGAGCACTCGCAAAATAGTTGCCTAATGCGACTGCCTTGCTGTGGTCGTCTGCCAAAATCGTGTTATTTTCCAGAACCAAGGTACCTATGGCGTCCCTCAAGTTTCTTTTTGATTGAACATATCGGAAAAACCTTTTCGGTTTCTGCTTGACATTTACCGCTAACTTTAGTTAATATTTTTTATTTTCTACTCTTATGAGACTGACTGTCCTATTTCTTTGGACCGTATAGTTTGACCACGCTAGCTGGGTTTTGACCGCTCTATAGTGCCTCCAGCATCTGTTTCTTTTCCTTAGTGCTCTCCTTATTTCCGGAGACTACCATAGGGGCTTATTACAAGCTTTCCCTATTTTAGGAGGGGAGAACTCATCTTGAAGTTCCTGTAGGTCACTCTTGATTCTGTACCAGAGAGCCTCGACTGTACGCCGATCATTTTTTGCTCCCCATTCTAGAGTTAGGGCTCGTGTCTGCAGGCTACTCGTAGCCATTCTGCTGAAGTTTCTGATTTTCCGGCCAAGCGATTTGGATTCCCTTGCATTGAGGGTCACTCTTATCACTAGGTGGTCCCTTTTTCCCATAGGTGGGTGAAAAGAGAGGTCTCCTACGTCCTTTTGGTATCTAGTAACACCAAATCTAGGAGAGGTGGATTTTGCCCAGTCCTGAATCTGGTGTTTTCTCTCACGTGTTGCAGGAGGGCTCTGGAGTGTATCCATCCCAGAAACCCTTCCTCTGGTGCACCCTCCGAGTAGGTCTCTGTTGTCCACTGGATGCCGGGAAGGTTGAAGTCCCCAGCAATGACCAGTTTATTCTGGGACTGTGCCAGTACATTCAGCGCCCTGATTAGTTGCTCATCTTCTTCCATGGTGGCTCCCAGACTTCTGTACACATGGGCTACGGTGGCGCTGTTGGTCCTAGAAAGAAGTGAGATAGCACCCATTTGTATATTGGGAGTGCAGACTTCTGTGTTCAATTTCCTGTGAGGATTTTCTTTGCGAATGAGAAGCGCTACTCCTCCGCCTTGAACTTGTCCCCCTTGATCCTGTCTGTGGATTTCAAAGCTGTTTGTAATGGCCTGTGGTATGTGGTCGCTTTCACTTAACCAAGTTTCAGAGACAACAATCACTCCAGCTTTGAGTTCCTCAGATGTAACTCCTAGGTCTGTCCACTTATTCCGGATGCTGCACGCATTAGCGCATAGCATTACTAACTTTTCCGGAATTGGGCATTCCAAGCCCCCTATTCTTGCTTTTGTCTCGGGGGCAGCACTCGAGCTGTGACCCCATTTTTTGATGGGTCAGTATTGGTTATTGTCCTGCAACGTTTAAGCTCGGAGGCCGTTTGTTCTACCATGGACGCCCGCCGCAATGGAGCGGTTCAGTTCGCGGCGAGTTTTAGACTCCTTGATTATTGGTTCCTCTTTATTGGGGACCAGAAGCGTGTTGCACCGAGACGTTCTATTTACCCTAACAGCCTTGATCGAGGCTACTTCAGCACGCAACTTATGCAGTTCACTCTCTATGTGGTGCAGGCTGTTACCCAGAATACTCTGGGCTCCCTTGGCGATGCGCGAATTTACTGTCGTCGGCTTAGATTTGACAGTCTTAGCTGCAATTTGCATGCTCCTGGAGCAGATTTGCCAAGTGATTTTTTCACCACCCCGGCATACGGTTTGGCTGCCACCTCTGCAGTCATTTCTTCCGTACTTTCCACTCGTTTTGTCTCCGTTAGTCTTGGTGACTTTCCGGGGACAGCACTTTGGGCTATATGCTGGCGAGCGATCGTTTTGCAACCGTTGCACACCCATTGTGTTTACTGTACGAAGCACAGATCTCCGTAAAGACCCCTGTACACTTTTGGTGAGCCCATTTTCCACATGCGCCGCACATTATGCCACTTACCACCTTTTTCCCGCACTTCATTCAGACAAGGGAAGTTGACATGTGGCATATTTTGAACAAAAAATGCGCAATTCAGGTGAAACTGATAAATATACGACACCAAATTTACTGTATAACACCAAACGTGAAAAGTGCGTCAGTAATTACTGAAAAACGGTTTACAGAGCTAGTTTGCAAAACCCTTTCAAAAACGGTATAACTGAAGCTCGATATTTTACTATCGAGCTTTCCTTCAGTAGTAAAGTAGTAAAACGGACTGTATAGTTCGCTTTACCGTGCTGCAGTTACAATTTACGGTGAGCAACCTACCACTGTACATGTAATGCATCCTTCCAAGATGTCACAGAAAATACGCTTGACAAATTCTTAGACAGATTTCCTGTCAGTAAAAAGTGAAATATCGTAACATATTCCACTGAAATAGTACCAAAAAGTATTTTCAACCAGAGTACTTCGAAATTTTAAACCGCGCGCTAACGTACCGCAAGTGTCAATTGGAAAAGCTCTAGGTCAAGTTACGGAAGCAAATAACCGAAGTAAAGGTACTTCATTTTGCCTACAAACATACATTGGGCTGGACAAGGAACATTCTGATTAGAGCCCCAAAACCCTACATTCGTGTAACCTCCCAAAGGCTCAAAACGGAATAAAATCTAATTTACTGTGTTCTGAGGAATGCGGACTGCAACCCTAGCTTGCAGTAGAGGCGTGCACATAGATTGGGTAAACAGACCCCCCAGACAACAACTTCACAATAGCAGTGCGTCTCGTGCTCGTGGAATTCCAATCCTCCAAAGATCGGGATTTTGTCCTCTCTAAAGCAGAGATGACTGTAGTAGTAATGGTCCCGGCTCCACTATGTCAAAGACTGCCGCGCTAGAGGTCACAGCAAACCCTCCTCGATTGCAGTTCAAAATCGACCGTCTGCGTACAGGCAACTGTGGGCCAGATAAAGACCTAGATCGAACTCGCAGCCTCTCCAGACCAACCTTAATACCACAGGAGCCAGTTCAGCGTGTGAACTCAGCTGACCCCAACCAAAGAAGCGTGGGAACTCCTCGGAGTGGTCTTCCGAGGAGGCCATAAACTCGTCCCCTAACGGAGGCCAAGGGCTACAGTGAATTAGAGGTGCGCTGATCAACGTATACAACCTCCTCAACAAAAGAGACTCGATCGATTTTCTCCGTGCCGTCGACCTGTGTCCTCACAGAAACTTGGCTTCGGGATTGTAATCCGATTGGAGACTGGAACAACGGATCCCAACCGTGCAGAGCGGACAGAAGAGCAGCTCCCGGGGGGGGGGCTGCCTCATGCTCGTCAGCAAAGAGATCCACCATGTTTCAACCCAAAACCAGACAACAGCACGTATACTCCATCTCAACCCGCTAGCGCTAACGGTGGGGATCTACCGCAGCCCATATGCATCCAGCACAGATGACTAACATCTTCTTCAAGCGCTAAGAAAGGCTTCTCGAACGGGATACTGACTGCTAGTTCTCGTGGACTTTAATGTCCCAAACGTAAGCTGCAGTCGGAATCCATTCGACAAAAAGCTGCTGCAAATCTCCTGCTCTCTGTCCCTAACTCAACGCCTGATCAAACCTACAAGAGTTAGACTGGGACAATAGCCCTCTACTCTGGATCCGATCTTTTCCAGAAATCCGACAGAGGTAACGGAAGTTTCCTTGAGAGTACCGCTAGAGAAAGACGGCCATTGCTCGGTACACTTCCTCTATAGACAAATGGCATCCCCAAGGTCCAAGCTGTGAACCCGGCGTTTCCACGTTGTCAAGGTAGGAAAACTACTTGACCGCGCATGGAAAACGGACTGATCCAGTATCGGTAACCTAGGGGATAGATGGACTCTATTGCTTAGAAACATAACTCACCTAAATGAGAAGCACCTCCCACTGCGGGCAGGAAACCCGCGGAGCAACAAACCGTGGTAGAAACCCAGGATTCGCAAAGCCCTGGAAAGGAAACCGTTAGCTTGTCAATCTTAAAAGCTCCTTCTCATACAGAAGATACAAACTCCTGAGAAACTAAGCGATCAGGATTTTCAGGAAGGTTAGACAGGCATACGAACTTGGCATCGCAANAGACGCCAAGCTGAACTCAAAACATTACTTCGGGTACGTACAAGAAAGGTTTTTTACAAGAAAAGAGATAGGAAACGTACTACGAGTGCAAACAAATCTGTTCACACTGGATGAGAAAATCGCGAACGCCTTTCGCTCGTACTTCTTGATCGTGCATAGAAGCGACAGTAACCTTTATCATCCCACTAACAACCACGTATACGATATGCCTGAGGTTTTCATTACCCTAGAGGACGTAGATAGGGCCTTGCCCAACCCCAAACCAAACAAACCCTCCGGTCCTGATGATGTCCATCCTTCCATGATCAGACACCTAAGCTCCTTACTAAGCCCCGAAATAGTCTGCCTATTCAATATGTTTCTCTTCCTAGGCGCCATACCTTCAGACTGGAAGCAATCAACTATAATTCCCGTTTTCAAAGACAGAGATAGGTTCAGTATATTAAACTAGAGACCTTTTAGCTTAACCAGCATGATAACTTAAACGCTCGAGCGGATCCTGCAAGACAAGATATATTCCTTTCTTTTCAACAAGGGCTTCTTCAGCCAACAAGACACCATCCAAGCTGACATCCACAAAATATTTGAATGGTCGGCCAAATCGGATCTACCGCTTAGCGCGCTGAAGAGCCACATGCTTTCAGGCGTCGCAGGTCCTTCACTCTTCGTCACCAACTCTCTTGGGATTTCGGAGCCCTTACCGTCCGAGTGCAGTACGACATATCTAGAGATTAGAGTTACATGCAAGTTCACGCCATCTGCAGCATGCGACGCAGCAACCGTAAAGGCCAGCAGAGCTTTATTCTGTCTTAAAACCACCATAAAGAACAGAAGCGCCGGAGTTTTCATCCCGTTATATGCAACCTTCGTCCGTCCACATCTTCAATACTATGTTCAAGCGTGGGCCCCATTTCTCCGTAAGGATATCCGGAGGCTGAAACAAGTCAAAAGGCTTGCTACCAGAAAGGTATGGGGAATGAAGCAGATGAGCTAGAGAGAGAGGCCCTTAGCACTAAACCTCTTCTCCCTCGAAAGATGCAGACTACGAGGAGATGTTTGAGATGCTTAAAATATCTAGGAACCTCAACAGTTCTCCAATGGGCCACTTGTTTCGCCTGAGGGAATAGTGAGGTTTCCGTGGGCATCCATACATTCTGGAGCAGCCAAGAAGCCGACTGCAAATCAGGCACTACTTCTTCCCGAATAGAGTAGTCCCAGCCTGATACCGGCCTCCAGCGGTAAGCGAGCTGCATCCAAAAGCGGTTTTATTCAAAAATATGAAGGTCATTCGATCGATCTCCATCCTCCAAACCTTGCAAAAGATCCCAACTGGAGACCACTGTCACTCAAAAAGTATTTCGCTTATTAAAGAACCTAAATATAACGCCGGATTCAGTGCGACAGCCAACATCCAAAAAAATTAAAAGAAACTTTGTTTTACCTAAAAACATATAATTATTGGTTAATATGTATGAACGAGTTCTCGGGAGGGAAATGTACTCATACTAAATCTATAAGAAATGCACCTTCCATATAACTGTCAAAAGCTATTCTAAATACTATTCTGCAACCTTCAGCCTATCATCAACGAATACAAAATAAACCTAACTTTTTGTCAGCTTTCGAAGTATTTGGTAGTGAAATTGTAAAACGAGCTAAACACCATCAATAAGAACTGTACCTTTCATGTAACTGTCAAAGCTATTCTCTGGAACCTGTGTTTGGCGAAATCCCTTAGCTCGCGAGTACTTCTAAAATTGTCCATCGAACTACACACTTCCTCTTACTATTCTTCCGATAGACGATGATATATACAGTCAATCTCCTGCTATGTCGCACCCCTGAGAAGTCGCATTTTCCAATATCT